GGGTAGTGGTGCCGCGAGCACGACGATGATGATAATGATACTGGTGATGACGAGTCGTGATGACAATTGTTAACGAGCAGACAGGAGGACAAGGAGGTCAAGGAGGATCGCTCGCAAGCAGGGGGGGCAAAATGGGGAGGGATGGGTGGAAGGAGTGGAAGAGGAGGAAAGGGAGGAAGAGAAGAAGGCGATGAAGGAAGAGGAGGAGAAACAGCAGGATGAAAACGAAAGAAACGTGGAAGAACAACAAACAATAATTCAAGAATTCCGTTTTCCGTTTTCCGAACCGAGACCAAGAATTCTGCTTGCCGCTCTGGTCTGGGATCCCTTTTTCCCATCCGCGGATCCGAAATCGGAAACCAAAAAATGGAATTCGGTTTTCCGCTGTGGGATTATGTTTTCCGCTTCCGCTTCGCAGACCCAAAACAAAAAACCGGAAATAAGAAATTCCTTGTTCCGTTTTCCGTTTTCCGCTTTCCGTTCCGCAACCGCAAACCAACAACCGGAAACCGAAACTTCGCCTTCCGCTCTGGGAAACCAACAACCCCCAAAAACGAATTCCTTTTTCCGCTTTTCGTTTTCCGCTTTCCGTTCTTCAACTGAAATTCCGGGAACCGAAAAACGGAATTCCGTTTTCCGCTCTGAGATCCCTTTTCCCTTCCGCAGCCGCAGCCGGACACTGGAATCCGGAAAACGAAATTCGGCTTTCCATTCTGGGATTCTATGTTTCCGCTTCGCAAGCCAAAAACTGGAAATCGGAAACCGGAAATCTGTTTTCCGTTTTCCGTTCAACGGGCTGGAAACCTGAAAACCGGAAACCGGAAAACGGACATGTGTTTTCCGTTTTCCGTTTTCCGTTCAGCGGACCGGACACCGGAAAGCGGAAAACGGAAATCTGTTTTCCGTTTTCCGTTTTCCGTCCAGCGGACCGGAAACCGGAAACCGGAAAACGGAATTCTGTTTTCCGCTGTCCGTTTTCCGTTCAACGAACTGGAAACTGGAAACTGGAAACCGGAAAACGAAATTCCGTTGTTCGCTCCGGGATTCCGCTTGCCGGTCCGCAGCGGGAAAACGGACATTGGAAACCTGAAACCGGAAAACGAAATTCCGTTCTCGTTTCGCGTTTTTCGTTTTCCGTTCTGCGGACCGGAAACCGGAAATTTGAAACCAGAAAACGAAATTCCGTTTTCCGCTCCGGGATTCCGTTTTCCGTTTCCGTTCTGGCGTGGCCCGACCGCTGACCGGAATCATCTACGGATGCGTTCATGGCGGTGGGGACGTCGGCAGTTTGCGAGACTCTGGAGAAGCCCGCCGCAGGCGCCAAAGTTTCACTGATTATAAGCAACGAGCCCGCCTCAGGCGCCGATTTTTTCGTTACACTTATGTGGGTAGGTCGCGGGTGGGTCGCGGGTGTAAGGGACAAACATTAACCCCATAATAATCAACCCGACAAGCGAAGCCGTTGACTCACACAAGGAATGAATCGGACAGGGCTGTTTAGTCAACGCCCAGGGTCGTTTTAGTAAAAGTCAATTGTCGGGTCTGGGTGGTTTTTCCTCCCTTGAGGGTGGGTCGCGGGGTGGATCGTGGGGTGGGTCGCGGGTGGGTCGAGGATGGATCGCGGATGGGTCGCGGGTGGGACGACGACTACAACCAACAACAACAACGACGACGACGACAACAACGCAACAAGAACAACGACGCAACAAGCAGAGTTTCCACCACGAATTCCTCATTCAGCCACGCACCCAGGTTGGGCGCCCGAGTTATCCGGGGTAACTCGGGTCCGGGGTAAGTCGGGTTTGGATTCCCGAAAAAGGAACCCGAGTTAGCCCTGACCCGAGTTACCCCTGATGATTCGGGGCTCTGGACGCCCGAGTTATCCGGGGTAACTCGGGTCCGGGGTAACTCGGGCTTGGATTCCCGAAAAACGAACCCGAGTTATCCCTGACCCGAGTTACCCCTGATGATTCGGGGCTCTGACCCAGGGACAATGCATGACCGTTCGGCCCCCATCGCTCTGGCTTGCAGCCAGGCTCCCGAAACGACCGCGAATCCCTGCAGCCAAAGGGCACCGGGTGCCGCGCAGCACGGCTGCACACTCTGTGCCGGCCGCGGGGCGAGGGGCATCCGCCGGCCCCCGCCCTGCCAGGGGAGCAGCGGCGTGTGCGATGCCTGGCTGTCCCACCTCCCCGTTCCCCCTGCGCCGGGGTCCAAAATCTTCCTTGAGGGTCCAAAACCTTAAGACTCTCCAGGGCTTCCAGCTCTGCCTTGCGTGGCCTCAGAGACGTGCCTAAGACGGCCCCGAATCGCCGAACGATTGGCCCAAGACGCCTGCGATGGCTCCAAGACGCCCCAAGACGCCTTCGAGACGCCCCAAGAGATGCCAAAGGGCGCTCAAAAGAGAGCCCCGAGAGGCAACAAGTATTTGTTATCCGTCGGTATTTCATTGCTTCTGGGGTTATCGTCTTCTCGAGGTTCCGACGCTCCAAGACGGCTGAAAACGCCCCGTAGACCGCCCCAAAACTGCCCAATAGCCCCTGCGTGGGCCCCAGGACGGACAAAGAGGGTTCCAAGACTGCCCGAAGAGGGGCCAAAGATGGCCAAGGATCGCCCCAAGAGAGGCCAAGAGGGACAATACGAACCGAATATCCAATCGTTTCCCGCCTCAAGAGGCCCCCTCCGAAGCCTCCAAGCGGCCCAAAAGAGGCCCAAGAACAGCCCCTCCAAGACACTTCAAACCTACCTCCAAGAGGCTCAGCCAAGCCACAGAACGGCGCGCAAGGCGCCCACAAGAGACCCCAGATAGTGCCCAAGAAGCCCACGATGCCTAAGCCTCTTGAATCGCCCATGCAAACACATGGTTTGCGCTCACGGGCGAAAGAAACCAATGCAAAAACGCACAGCTTGAGCTAGCGGGCGAAAGGAACCAACATACAAACACGTGGTGTTGGCCCACGGGCGAAAGGAATCTAAACCGATGTAAAAACACGTGGTTCGAGCTCACAGGCGAAAGGAAGCCATGTAAAAGCATATGGTTTGCGCTGGCGGGCGAAAGGAACCCATGTGAAAAAAAACAGATGGTGTTGGCTGAAGAGAGCAAGGACCTCATATACATACACATGGCCGGAGATCACTGGTCAAAGGAACCCATGGTAAAGAAACAACAAATGGCTTGAGCCAGCGGGCGAAAGAAGCCTATGCACCAACACATGGCTTCGGCCCACGGGCGGACGGAACCCATGTAAAAGCATTGTCTGGGCTCAAGGGCGACCTTAACTCATGTAAGAACACATGGTTTGAGCTCACGGGCGAAGGGAACCACTGTAATAGCAGGCGTTCCGCCCGAGGCGTCCTCAACACATCCCCATGTTCGGCGTCCGCCTGGGCGACATGAGGCACTGTTTCATGACAGGAGTTTCGCTCGAGACATCCTCGACAATCCTGCCCGAAGGGCGCGCCATCTCGTGCGGGCACGCACACAATCAACTGTCGTCAACTTTTGTTTGGAATGTCCTGCGGGTTCCACGGCGCCTTCTTTTTGTTTTGACGCATTGGTTTCGCGCGTGCCCGAGTGCAGACAACGTGCCTCCCATCTCTGACCCTCGATAAATAACGGGGTCCGCACACCCCTGCTGTTCTTCGAATAACTGTTGACATTTTCCGTGCCCGCTCGAGGATGGCGCGTCATGCACAAAGAAGTTTCGAGGGTCTCTCTAGCGAGATGCTTGTTTTGCAAAACTTGATGAGCTCAAGCGCCCCAGGGTGCCCACGTGATTCTGGGAGTGCGGACGCGCGTGAAAACAATGTGAACCCTAACGCCCCAGAGCGGGACACGCACAACAAACACAGTGGTTCCTAACGCCTATCGCGGTCAGAGCCCCCCGCCGATGCGACGCGCGGCAGCCACTCTGAAGGGGGTCGCGGAGGGGGAGGTACAGCCGACGCGTTGCCATAAGCAACGCCAAATCAGGAGCGAAGGTACTTTCCTGACCGCGGCGCGCCTCGGCCACGAATAAGTTAGGCTCCCCGCTAGACCCGAGGAATGGCCCGAAATTTCGAGTTCCTTTTGGGCCAAGGCGGTCCTTGTGTCAGCGTCTCGATTGCATAGCGGAGGAGGCGGGTGCTGGGAGGGGGGGGGCTGGGACCCTGGCGGCGCGGCCGCGCACCTGAGCATCCCACCGTTTAGCCAATTCTGATGAGGCTGCGGGATGCGCGCGCGCTTTGTGGCATGCTCACCTCCCCCTCATCCCTCCTCCTCCTCCTCATTCTCCTCCTCCTTCTCCTCCTCATCTTCCTCCTCCTCCTCCTTCTCCTCCACCTCCTCCGCCTCCTCCCTCCTTCTCCTGTTCCTGCTCCTGCTCCTGCTCCTGCTCCTCCTCCTCCTCCTCGTCTTCCTCGTCCTCTTTCTCGGCCTCCTCCTCGTCCTCCTCCTCCTCCTCGTCCTCCTCCTGCTCGTCCTCGTCCTCCTCTTCCCTCCTCCATCCTCCCTCCCTGTCCTCCTCTTCCTCCCCCGCCTCCTCCCCTCCCCCTCCTGGTCCCCGTCCTCCTCCTCCTCCCTCCCTCCCTCCCTCCCTCCCTCCCTTCCTTCCTTCCTTCCTTCCTTCCTTTTTTCCTCCGTTCCTTCGTTCCTTCGTTCCTTCCTTCCGTCCCTCCTTCCATCTTTCCTTCCTCCGATGCCGTCCTCCCTCCCGAGCCCTTCTTCCGAGGCCCTCCCCGTTGTTGTTCCGCTCTGCCCGAGGCCGCTCCAGCGCATCTTGCACCGCGCGCTCGTCCGCGTCCCCGATCGAGATCTCGCACACCTCGGGCGCTTACCAGCCTGGAACATATCCCTATCCCTATGTTGGGCATCGCCTCGTCACGATGGCGATCTTGAGGATTTCCTCAGTTTCTCAGGGTGCACCCCTAAGATTGTCATCTCCTTGCAGCGTGTCAATCTTAAGGACAGGGATCAGTTCGAGGCTGGTGAGAAGCGGCAAGGCGGGCGCCCATGGCCAGCGCGGGAAGGCGGCGAGGAGAGGCTCGAGAGGAAGCCAAGACGAGGACAGCGTCTTCCCAGAGCGTCCGCCGAGCATGCACTGCCGGAAGTGGTTGTCTTCGGGGAAAAAAACAACCTTCAAACCATTTTTCGAAAGGCCCGGGGGGGGGTCCGACCCATCGGGAAGGGTTTTTCCTTCTCGATTCCCCCCCTCGCTCGCCGCCGAATTCGGGGGCCAGGGGCCCGGGAGAGCCCAGAATCGAATCGATAAATCGGACCGGCGACCGAAGCGAGTCGGATAGGCAGGGATCGGCCGCCGAGCCGGGAAATGTCGAACCGGAGGAGATCGGGAAGCGAATGCCAGCTTATGATGAACAAATCCGAGAAGGGCGCGTGTTTACAACAATGGTTCCCTTGCTCGGGCGAATCGCGGGTTGGCGCCCGCTAGATTGAAAAACGACGGCGGCGGCGTCGGTGCTTAGCGCCGACGCCTGGCCGCCAGCGAGAGGGCGAAAAGACCACAGACTAGGGGAAGAGGGGGGGCAAGAGGCTAGGGCGGCAGAAGCAAATACCGTGAGCCAAGGCGCCCCCGCACTTTCCGTGCTCGTTTCTGTCGAATCGGCGCGCTTCTTTTGCCCTGGCCGCAGTCACGGGGCTCGCGGGCCCGAGAGCAAGACGGCGGGTTGGACGAAAGGGGGGCGTGGTCAACCAGGGATTTGCCAAGCAGCTCACGTTGCTGATTTTCAAAGCGCCTTCTGGCGCCGAAAGCGGCCATGCATCGAGGACTGGCCCCTCGGCAAGGCGGCCGGAACCAGCTGCGCGCAGCAGGTCTCGCACCCCCACCTTTCCTTCCCCAGCCTTTCACCCGACCCGAGAGAGACGGGCAGTCCTCCTCCCCCCCTCTGTCGTGGTCGTCGTCGCCGCCACCGCCGTCGTCGTCGTGGCCGTCGTCGTCGTGGCCTCCTCCTCCTCCTCCTCCTCCTCCTCCTCCTCCTCCTCCTCCTCCTCTTCCTCCTCCTCCTCCTCCTCCTCCTTCTCCTCCCCCTCCTCCTCCTCCTCCTCCTCCTCCTCCTCCTCGCTCGTGCCGTTTGCCATTTCCGCGGCGCGGTGGTTCGCCGAGCTCTCCGAGCCTTGGCGCGCGTGTTAAAAAAATGTCTCGCCCCGTGGGGTCCATTCATCAGCCCGGGGGGGGGCATCCTATGTTAATCATGACCTGACATTCGTTGGCCTCCATGGAGAAAATCGTGAACCAAATCGGGTTCCGAAATCAAATCGAATCGGAAACCGGAAAGGTCGAAACGGAATCGAATCGAATCGGGGGAATCGACATGAGCCCTGGGAGCCCACGCAAAAAGAATTCAGCCTGGCCAGTGCGAAGACGGCGATTGCGGGGGAGGAACAGACGGAGCAAAGGGAGGAGAGGAGAGAGGGGAGGGGAGCCCTCTGAGAAGGCCTTCTCCTTCTCACTTCCCCCCCTTGCTCGCCGCCGAATTCGGGGGGCCGGGAAGCTAGGCATAACGAATTCAGCCTGGCCAGCGCGAAGGCGGCAGCCGCGGAGAGAGGGCAGAGGGAGCAAAAGGAGAAGGGGAGACAAGCGGGGAGCGGCATGTTGACCGCCCAGCCAGGGCAGGAAACACAAACAAGACCAAGACAAAGCCAAGACGAGGCCAACTCTGGGCGAAGAGATACCGGGAATCTCTACGATCCGGCGGCTCTGGAGGATGTCTCGGGCGCCGCGGCCTTCTCAGAGCACTCGGGAGCGCTCTGAGAGAGCGTTCCGGAACGCTTGAAGGGGCCCTGGGACACACAAAGAAATACACACAAGTAAAAGGATTCCCCATATTCTCCCATATTTTCTGGGGTTTTGTCTCCCCCCCACCTCCCATATTTTCCCATATTTCCTGGGGCATCGACGATTCATTGTGTCTGTGTCTGTTTCTCCCTCCGGAACGCTCTGGGACAGATCTGTGCTCGCCCTGGCCCGGTCGAGGACCCTCAGAGCGCGCGCCAGCGCCACCGTGTGCCCCTCTGCCGAGGCCCTTCCGGACGCCGCAGGCGGGCAGACACACGGAGGTGGGCAGACACACGCCTGGGCCAACACACGTCCCTGGTGAAGACCGGAAAAAATCAGACTGAATGGGGGATCTCTGAGATCCGGCGGCTCTGGAGGATGCATCGGGCGCCGCGACCTTCTCAGAGCATTCTGGAAAGCTCTGAGAGCGTTCCAGAGAAATCTGACAGTAGGTTCGCGCCGCGTTGCCGCGGTGGTGAACTCAGTGCGTGCGTTCAATGTTGAACGCCGCCAGAGGCCATGATCGGCCGACAACGATCTGCCCCATCGGAAAGCCTTGAACGTTCAAGGTTGAACGATCTACGGGGTGTCAGCGACAAACGCCAACGGTATCGCGACGCGAACCTGCCGTATCTCTGTCCTCGCGGGCAAGACTTGCGCCCATATCTGCTGCAGCTTGGAGTTGCGGGCTCCCTCCTCCAGACACCCTAGGCATACTGATATCAATAAAACATCTGGCCCCGGTTGGCTCGATGTTCGTCCATATCCAGTGCGCCTCGGCCTTGTGGCGCCCCTTCCAACCTGAGATCCGACGTCTCTAATAGATTGAACCATCGTGAGAAATCACGACCGGAGCCCTAGACCCTGTCTTTCTGCGTCATTATACGAGCTGGATCGGCATGTGAGGGTCACGGGACTCGGAAAGAGGCGACAACGCCCAGCTCGGAAAAATGCAGTCACCGGGACCTCAGGGTAATTAGAGATATCCTCCCCAGACCGACCTCGATCCAAACGGGGGGCCTCGAGGGCCCGAAACTGGCACCTCTCCCCTCCCCCATTCATCGCCCCCCATTACTTCGCGCGCACATATATCTCGAAATGTGTATATATATAACATATAAATATATATATATATATATATACACGCATCTCTCTCTCTCTTGCCCGCAGTCCTGTCCCCGCCCGAAGAGGGGGAGAGGCGCCGGGCCAGGAGCGAGGCCAGCGAGGGGGGGGGGGGGGGGGGGGGGGGGGGAGGGCAGCGCGTCGCCATAGCGCGGACGGGCCCTCATTTCACGGGGTCCTGGGCCGAGCACTTCCAGAGCACGCCTTCTCCCTTCAAGGCAGGGTCAAGAGAACCCATCTAGCCACGCTTTCTCCCTTCAAGCCAGGGCCACGCTTTCTTCCTTCAAGCCAGAGCACGCTTTCTTCCTTCAAGCCAGCGAGGGGGGGGGAGGGAGGGTAGCGCGTCGCCATAGCGCGGACGGGCCCTCATTTCATGGGGTCCTGGGCCGAGCACCTCCAGAGCACGCCTTCTCCCTTCAAGGCAGGGTCAAGAGAACCCATCTACCCGGCGCTCCAGTTGGGCGTCGCTTGCAGTTCTCGGCCCGACCTAAGGAACGATAAATAAGGAACGAAGCCCCTTTGTTTCAAGTAAGCCTAGGAAGTCCGAAGGAACACCGGGGGGACTTGCCGCCAAAAAGGTAGCGGAACGCATGAAAACCAAAGGAACGGCGAGCCCCTTTTGAAAAGTAAGTGTTCCATATAGTTGGAGGCCTCCTAGACGTGGTCCGAGCAGATGGGGTCGGGGGATGTTGCCGCATCGAGGATGCATCGGCGATGCATTGCCGATGCATCGGCGATACAGCGACGTGGGCTGTGCATCGGCGACGTCGACGTGGAGAAAATTGGGCCCCGCTGATGCATCGCCGATGTATCGGCGATGCGGCGCGATCCTCCGACCCCATCTGCTTCGACCCCATCTACGAAGCCCAGATTAGTGGGAAGGGCGATAATTGAGGGGGAGAAAGGTGCACTTATCGGGCCCCACGGGGCCTCCTTCTGTGTCTCTCTCAGGGCCCCTCGAGGGGCCTCAAGAAGAGAACGGGCCCCTCTAGAGGCCCGAAAGAGGAGGGGTCGAGCACCTCCAAAGCACGCCTTCTTTCTTCAGGGTCAGGGTCACGTGAACTGACCTGCCGGGCTCCCCACTTGGGCGTCGCTTCTAATGGGTGGGGGTGATGACTGGGGTTAGGTCGGACATGTCCCCCTGCAGGGGGATTTTGGATGAAAAATGCAAAATACTCAAAAAATAATACAAACATCATCAAAAAATGCTTAAACAAGTTGTCCCCTGACTATTTTTTATCTTTTTGCATACTCCTCCTGTGGAGGGACAGGCCCGACTTTACGACTTACGCGCGGTGGGGGTCCGGGCGCCTGTCTTTGTAGGGTGCAGGGTTCGTAAAACCGCACACCATGAAGGTCCAGGAGTGTGGGGATGCCAGGCGTGGTGGGGGGAGCAGTGGGGGCCCCGGCGCGTGTTTTTGCGCGGGTGGAGGGTCCGTAAACAGTACACAAAAGGGCCAGGAGGGTGGGGATGCCAGGCGTGGCGGGAGGGCGCGGTGGGGGCCCCAGCGCGTGCTTTTGCGAGGTGGAGGGTGCGTAAACAGTACACACAGAGGGCCAGGAGGGTGGGGATGCCAGGCGTGGCGGGAGGGCGCCGTGGGAGTGCTGGCGCGCCTGCTTTGGCAGGGCGGGGGGCCCGGCAGACAGCAGACAAAGGGCGCCTCTCGGGCCGCACGGGGCCGCCCTCTGGGCTCAAGTCGGGCCTGTCCCCCACACAGGGGGATTTTCGACGAAAAATAATAAAACGCAAAAAATACTCAAGAATCGGAGGTGAGGGGGTGAGATCGAAGTGGAACGGAGAGCCCCCCTACCGGGAAATCGATTTCGGTTTCGTGTTCGTGCGTGTCGTGCGTGCGGGCGAGGCGAAGCTGCGTGGGCGGGCGAAAAGAAAGTCTCCTGTGGCTGAGGCGCGGCCGGACCAAATGTCTCCCTTCCGGGCGGCCGGTGGCCCGCGGTGTCCCGCCAGTGTCCCGCTGGTGTCTTCTGTGGCTGAGGCGCGGCTGGATTAAATGTCTCCCTTCCGGGCGGCCGGTGGCCCGCGGTGTCCCGCCGGTGTCCCGCGGTGTCCCGCGGTGTCCCGCGGTGCCCCGCGGTGTCCCGCGGTGTCCCGCGATGATGATGATGATGATGATGATGATGATGATGATGATGATGATGATGATGATGATGATGATGATGATGATGATGATGATGATGATGATGATGATGATGATGATGATGATGATGGTGATGCTGATGATGATGCTGCTGATGATGTTGATGCTGATGTTGATGCTGATGATGGTGATGCTGATGATGATGATGCTGATGATGATGATGATGATGATGATGATGATGATGATGATGATGATGATGATGATGATGATGATGATGATGATGATGATGATGATGATGATGATGATGATGATGATGATGATGATGATGATGATGATGATGCTGATGGAGTGAGATCGAGTGTGAGATAGATCGAGTGAGATCGAGTGAGATCGAGTGTGAGATCGATTGTGAGATCGATCGAGGGAGATCGATCGAGCGAGACCGATAGTGAGATCGATAGTGAGATCGATAGTGAGACCGATCGAGTTAGACGTTGGTTCCTCCCCCCCCCGAACCTCCTTATCACCCGAAGGGTGGTCGTATAGGTAACCTATACCTTTTTTTGAATATGTTTTTTTATGGGGACTAGGTTTTGATAAGTATGGGGTATCTAAATATTGAATATGGGGACTAAGTTTTGAATAGTTTTCTACCTTTGTGACGCATTTTCTGGGCATTTTTCATTTTTCGTCGAAAATCCCCATGTAGGGGGACACGCCCGACTTCAGGCCAAGGGCCTCCTGCAGGGGCCCGAGAGGGGCGGGGCCCTCGAGGACGCAGGGCGCAAGGGCGAGGGCCCTGGGCCCCAGGCCATTGGCGCCACGTCGGGCCTGCCCCTCTGCAGGGGGAGCACCCAAAGATCGTAAAACACTAGTCTGGAGACAATTATTTGCCTGTTTTCTCAAAACAAATATATGTTTTGCAGGAGGAGCACTCAAAGCTCGTAAAGCAATAGTCTGGGGACAATATTTCGACTGCTGTCGGACAACAAATATATATGGCTTGCCTCTGTTTTATGCTTTCGCCCGAAACCCCCTTGTAGGCGGGCAGGCCCGACCTCACCCTGGCGCGGGGCTCCCGGGGCCACGGCCCCGCGCGCGCTCTCGGCAGGCCCCTCTGCCCCGCCCGCAGGGCCGCACCCGCGGGCCTCGCACGCTGGGGCACGACAACGCGACACGAACAGAAAAACTCGGCGGTCCGCGCGGGTGTCTCCTGCCATCGCTCGGACGTCCATTCCCTACGTTTTTTTTGTTGGTTTCGTGCGTGGTTGTTTCACCAAATGATCAAGGATGCTCCTCGGTGGTCCTCGACGAAAGAAAAATGCACACGTCCGAGCGATGCCAAGGTCTCGCATCGGCGCTGGGGCCCCCCGGCGGCGCCTCCGGCGCCGCCCCTGGCGCGCTCCGCGCGCCAGGGAAGGGGGTCCAGCGCGAATCCAACAGAATTTCCGCGCGGACCTCTGATATGTTCTGTTTCTGTCATGTTTCGTTCCCACTCGCACGGGCTCCCCACTGCCTGCCACACGGGCTCGCGGAAGGGATTGCAAGGGGGGCATTTCGTGCGCTTCCCCCCTCCCTGCCCCAGGGGGAGCACACGGGGTCGAAAGGCGACTTGCGTGTCCCTGCACTACCTGCCACAGGGGTTCTCACAGCGGCTCCGACGAAGAGTTGTTCGTGCGTATCCCCCTGCATGTCACAGGGGTCCGCGCAGGGGTTTTGAGGGAGTTTGTCTTCCTCTCTGGCAGGAGCTCGCGCATAAATGTCAAGGGATCATGCCAAGGGATAATGACTCTCACCCCTGCCTGCCATAGGTGCATACAACGCGGGTTTTGCGCGAGGTTCGGTTACCCCATCCCTGCCTGCCAAAAGGGGATCACACAGGTTCTGAAGGAGATGCGTTAAGCTCCCCCCCTGCTTGCTGCAGGGGGTTGCGCAAGTGTTCGCCACAGGGGTTCGCGCAGGGGTTCTCAGGGAGACGTATCAATCTGTCTCGCGCGGCTCCATGGGAGATTCACGTGCTCCTCACTTGGATTCGCCAGAAGCTGCCGCAGAGATTCCGACAAAGATGACTGCATTCCGAGGGTGTCGATCGCGGGTTTTACGCGAATCTTGTGTTTCCCATCCCTGCCTGCCACTCGGAGGATCACACGGTTTCAGAAAGGACATGTGTTTATCTCGCTCCTGCCTGCCACATGGGGGTTGGCGCTGAGGCCAGAGGATATCGAGTCTTGTGCTTCCCATCCTTGCCTGCCACTCGGAGGATCACACGGGTTCAGAAAGGACATGTGTGCTTATCTCGTCTGCCTGCGACAGGGATTTGCGTTGAGGGTCGCCACAGCGGCTGAGGAGGAGCATTGAGGAGAATTGAGGACTGGGGGACAGGATTGAGCCAACCAACCACCCAAGACCGACCAACCACTTCAACAATCAGTCGGCCGACCAACAAGCCAACCAACCAACAAATTGGACAGCCAACCAGTCAAGCAACCATTCAGTCAACCAGCCGACCAGCCAACCAAGCCGGAAAATTTTGGGCGACGGGCGACCAATGAAAACGGCACAGGACGGGCCGCAGAGGCAAGGACACAACGGTAGCCTAGATGAAGGCGCGCGCCCTTACGTTGACTGTAAGGGGCCGCGTAATGAGGGGTGTGCCAACATGGGGTGGGGCGCCATGCGACCACACCCACTGGAGCTTTCGGTGACGCTCCCTGTGGGGCCACGAAACGTGCGAGGAGTGTGCCGAGATGGGGTGCGCCATGCGACCGCAGCCGCTAGGGGCTCGAAGCATGTGAAGGGCACGCCGAAATCGACATGCGAAAAGCAGAGGGTGGGCGAGGAAGACGAGGAGAGGAGAGGAGGAGGGAGAGGAGGTGACTTGGAACGCAGGCGCGCTGCGGATTCCAAACGAGGACCCAACACGTAGCAGGGCGGGGAATGAAAACGGCCACGAACCTCGATCCTCGAGCCTCGCCTCGAATCCCAGATCCACGAACCTCGAGCAATCAGAACCTCGAGCCTCGCACCCCCACCCTCCGTCCTCGCCGACGGCGAGGCCGCCGACCCCTCAAACAACATACGACGCGACGACGACGACGACGACGACGACGACGACGACGACGACGACGACGACGACGACCCTCGACCCTCGACCCTGCGGCGCGCCGCCGAGCTGGCGACGGCGGCAAGCCCGCCGCGCGCGCCCGGCGCGCCTGGGACTCGTGCATGCCCGACGACAGCATCGCGGCGAACACCGGGGACCTCCGCCGGGCGCCGCGGCTGCCCGCCCGGGCCGCGGCTGCCCGCCGCCGCCCGCTCCGCCGCTCCGGCGCAGCCCCCGCGCGCTGGCAGCGACGCCGCCGACGGCGGCGGTGCCGACGGCGACGCGGCCGCACACGGCGGCGCGGCGGCGGCGGCGCCGACGCCTACGGCGACGGCGACGACGGCGGCACGGCCGCCGACGGCGGCGACGGCGCCCACACCGCCGACGACGGCGCCGACAGCGACGGCCGAGCGCCAGGGACCTCCTTGCCCGCTGAGAGCCGGCCAGCGGCAAGTGATGCGGGGCGGGAATTTCTACATGACCACCGCCTGGAGCGTCAGTTTTCGGAGCCTCGGCAGGCGGTGGATATGGACATATTTGGGCCCCCGGGGGCCGAAATGTATCCATATCCGCCGCCCGCCAGGGCACCAGGACGTCGGTTCCCAGACGGTGGATGTTGAGAAATCCCCGCCTCGCAGAGGTCGCGAGGACTTGACCCAGAACCGTCCACAGCGCCAGCGTTCGGAGGAGGAGAAGGAGGAGGAAGAGGAGGAGAAGGAGGAGAAAGAGGAGGAGGAGGAGGAGAAAGAGAAGGAGGTGGAGGAGGAGGAGGAGGAGGAGGAGGGGAGGGGGAGGAGGAGGACGAGGGGGAGGAGGCGACGGCGACGCGACGACGATTACGAGGCCGAGGACGGAGACGAGGACGGCCAGCGATGTGCGACGATGGCAAACGTTGGCTCGGTTACTCGGCGTCTCGGGGCGCGTCTCGGGCCGTGGCGGCGCCAGAAGCTAATCCAGGAGAACACCGGAGGCGGAGAGGGGAGAGGCGGGAGGGAGAGGAGGAGGGAGGAGGAGGAGGAGTAGGAGTAGAGTAGGAGGAGGAGGAGGAGGGAGGAGAGGAGGATGGGTTCGTTCTCCGGAGCTCCTGGGGCCAATATAGGCCCCAGGAGCTCTGGAAAGCGACTGTAAACGGATCTTGACGGCGGCGGGAAAGGGGGGGCGGGGGGCGAAAGGGAGGAGGGGCGAGGCTTCCGGACGTCTTCGGTTGTTTTTGGAGCCGGCTTCGGGATGTCTCATGATCCTCATCACCCTTCCCCCCTCCCTCCCATCCTCCGCCGCCCTCCTCACTTCACCACCTCCTCTCCAAGCGCACCAATCCTCCTCCTCCTCCTCCTCCTCCTCCTCCTCCTCCATCCTGCCTCGCTGCATTTCTCACCCTCCACTCCTGCTCCTCCAACCCTTACACTCCCTTCGTCAACCCCTCCTCCCCGTACTCTGCTCCTCCATCCTCCTGCTCACTTCTCATCCTCCTGAACGCTCCTCCGCACTCCTCCGCCCTTGCCCTTCTCCTTCTCCTCATGCTCTCTCCTCCTCCTCCTCACTCCTCCCTCCTCACTCGTCACTCGTCACTCCTCACTCCTCACTCCTCACTCCTCCTCCTCCTCCTCCTCCTCCTCCTCCTCCTCCTCCTCCTCCTCCTCCCGAGGCCCTGGCTCCCGCAACACATCACCCCCTCACTCCCACCTCCTCCTCCTCCTCCTCCGCCTCCTCTTCCTCCTCCTCCACAACCACCACTGTCATCACCAACTCCACTACCACCACCATCATCACGACCTCCACCACCACCATCATCATTAACAGCATCAGCATCATCATCAGCATCATCATCAGCAGTAGCAGCATGAGCATAAGCATCAAACTGGTAACCATCACAATCAACATCATTATCATCACCATCAGCATCATAGTCATCAACAGCAGCATCATCATCAGCTTCATGATCAGCAGCATCAACATTAGCATACGCATCATCGTAGTCATCATTAGCATCATCATCATCATCATCATCATCATCATCAGCAGCAAATGCATCAGCATCAGCATCATCATCAGCATCGTCATCATCATCAGCATCCTCATCCTCAACATCCGCATCCTCATCCTCATCATCATCCTCATCCTCATCATCCTCACCATCAGCATGGTCATCATCATCATCATGATGAGCATGGTCATGAACATCATCAACACGATCACCAACCTGAGCATCAGCATGCTCATCATCATCATCACCATCATCCTCACCAGCATACTCACCACCATCATCATCATCATCATCATCATCAGCATCATCATCATCATCATCATCATCATCATCATCATCATCATCATCATCATCATCATCATCATCATAAGCATCAACAACATCATCTTCAACATCATCATCAGCATCATCAACATCATCATAATCAACATCGTCATCACCATCATCAATCGCCACCAGCATCGCCATCTGACATCTTCACCTGCCCACCTCATCCTGTCGGCCCTTCGCGGGGCCCGCGCGCCCCACCCCCGCATAAACGCGGCAAGGGAGCGCGCGGCAGCCAGCACCGCCCTGTGCGCGGCGAACCGCCTCTCCCCGCAGACCACCTCGCGCGCGCGAGGGGCTTCTAAGAAGGAGGAGGAGGAGGAGGAGGAAAGAGGGAGGAGGGAGGGCGAGGGAGGAGGAGGAGGAGGAGGAGGAGGAGGAGGAGGAAGAGGAGGAGGAGGAGGAGGAGGAGAGGGGTAAGGGGGGATAGGAGGGAGGGAGAGTGAGGAGGAGGGAGGAGGTGAGGAGGGGGAGGAGGAGAGGCAGGAGGGGGAGGAGGAGGAGAAGGAGGAAGGAGGAGGAGGAGGCGGACGGGGAGGAGGAGGGAGGAGGAGCGTGAGAGGAGGCGGAATAGGAGGGGGGGAAGAGGAGAGGGGAGGAGTGGAGGAGGAGGAGGAGGGTGAACAAGAGGAGGATGAGGAGGAGGTGGAGGACGAGTGAGGAGTGAGGAGTGAGAGGTGAGGAGTGAGTTGTGAGGACTGATGAGTGAGAGGTGAGGAGAAGGAGGAGCAGGAGGAGTGAGAAGGAGAAACAGGAGGAGTATTAGGAGATGGAGGAGGAGGAGGCGGAGGAGGAGTGAGGAGTGAGGAGGAGGAGTACAGAGTGAGGAGTGAGGAGTAAGGAGGAGGATGAGAGGAGGAGGAGTAGGAGGATAAGGATAATGTGGCGGAGGAGGAGGTACGAGGGTGAAGGAGAAGTGAGGAGGGGAGCTAAGCAGGATTTGTAGAAGAGGAGGAGGTGTATAAGGATGGCGATGACGATGAGCGGAAGGAGGAGGAGGGGGAGGACAAGAGGAGTGAGGTGAGGAGGGCAGTAGATGTAGGAGGAAGAGGACGAGGGGGGCAGGCAGGAAGGAGGAGTGAGGGTGAGGAGCTGGGAGTGAGAGGATCGGGAGGGTGTAGCAGTGAGGGGAGTGAGTATTGAGGGAGGCGAGGATACCGGAGTGGGAGTGAGGATGGTGAGAGGGGTGAGTTGGGGTGTGAAGTATGAGGATGAAGTTGGTTTGAATGAGGTAGCTTGAGCGTGGGAAGTGAGGATGAAGAATGATTATTATTATTATATGATGATGATGATTGATGAATGGATTATTGATATGATGAGAGCGTTGCACTGTAGGAGGACGGTGTACGAGGAGGATGAGGAGTGATGATGATGAGGAGGAGGAGGAGGAGGAGGAGGAGTGCGGAGGATAGGGAGATACGCATAGAGAAGAAACATCGACCTGGAATGGGCGATACATCGCTGAGATGGATCGGCGTTAGGGTCGCGATAGCGAATGCGCATGTTCCTGGGCAGGTTGGGGCTATCGGGTCCCTATCCGCGATCAATGGGCGATGGGGGGTCAGTGCATCCCCCCCTATGCCTACCCCCCCCCTGTTGTTGCCCCTGAAAGGGGATGGAGGGACGAGGGAAGGCTTCTAAGGAGGCTGCTTCTCAGAAGGCGCAGGCCCGCGCCTTATGAGAAGCAAGGGTGCTTCTAGGAGGTTCTCCCCCCTCCCCCAACCTTCTTTGCGCGTGGCTGACCCTCGTCGTCGCCGTCGTCGACGTCAAAACAGTCCGCTCCAAATCAGTCCAAAACCCCCTCTTGGGCTGTATCCTGGCAAGTTTCCCGTTCCGGATGGATTCCTGATGCCCCAGGGCACGAATTGAGTCCAAACCTGTTGTCGCCCTTCGGTAGTCCGACGGTCGGTCGTCGTCTGTCGTAGTCGTCCGTCGTTGGTCGACCGTCGTCCTTCGTCGTCGTCGTCGTCGCTCGTCGTGTTCGACGTGCTCGTCGTCGGCGGCGGTGGCTTCGTCGTCACTCGGTCCAGCGGTGAGCCTCCATGTCTGTGAAGAGGCGGTCCGTCCACAGCTTCTTGGTGAGCTGCGGGGAGTGCATGACCTCAGAAGGGCAGGATGGAGGAGGGGGGAGGGATGAGCAAAGGATGAAGGGCAGAAGACAGAAGGGCCTTAGGAAGACAGACCTCAGGGAGGGAGTGCATGACCTCAGAAAGACAGCGAGGAGGGAGGAGGGGGGAGGGATAAGCAAAGGAAGCATTGAGGATGGGTGAGGAGGAGGGAACGATCGGGGGCGTCCAAGAGCGGGGGGCGTCCAAGAGGGGGTTCGCAAATCCTGGCCAGAGGTATGTGCGCGGACCATGGGGGCAAAGGAACGCAGTGGAATCAGAAGGGGGCCCATGAAATCTGGGGGGATTCCGTGGCGACGGCCATTGATATCCACCCAAAAAGAAATCACCTCCCTTCACGAGCCAGCGGAGGAGCAGTCGTCGAATCGATAGCTCCTGGCCGAAGGGAAGGCGCCGCAAGGCAGGTGCAGCAGCGAGCTGCAGCGGCGATATGTGGTGGCCGCCCCAGGCGACGGGCGCACTAGCGCAAGGTACAGGAGCAGAGGGCCGGCACGCATATACAATGTGAATATTTATATACATATATATATACATATACATCTATATATATATATATATATATATATATATATATATAGAGAGAGAGAGAGAGAAGAGAAGATGCTCCACCCGAGGGCCTGACCAGAAGGCGCGAGGGAGAGGCGAGAGAAAGAGGGAAGACCCATAAGCTCTCTGCCGATCTCTTCACGAATCACTTCTGGCAACCGGTCGCCTCCACGAGGCAGTCCTCGCTAGAAGAAGGGCTGGCTGAATACAAACACCGCCTGCAGCTCAGGAGGAGGCTAGAGGCTAAACGATTCAAGGGCTCCCGGGAGCTCTGAAGAGAGGGTCTCGAAGGACGGGGCGAGACGATTTGAGAAGATTCAGCAGCCGTCACCAAGGAAAAAGGCCTGCCTTTTGACACAGGGCAGGGTGGGCGGGTCACTGTGAGCCAAAACGATTATGGAGGAGGCCAGGGGAGGAGAGGGAACGCATCCAGACATTCACAACCTCCCCTCAGGCGGTGGAGACACGAGGCGTCACCACGGGTCAGAAACTGTACTCCGAATCTACAATCGTGCAACTGATGAATAGATGCTCCACCCGAGGGCCTGACCAGAAGGCGCGAGGGAGAGGCGAGAGAAGAGGGAAGCCCCGGAGCTCTCGCCGATCTCTTTCACGAATCACTCCAGATCTGGCAACTGGTCGCCTCCACGAGGCAGTCTCGCTAGAAGAAGGGCTGGCTGAATACAAACACGCCTGCAGCCTCAGAGAGGCTAAACGATTCAAAGGCTCCCGGGAGCTCTGAAGAGAGGGTGCGCAGACGATTTGAGAAGATTCAGCAGCCGTCACCCATAACCCATATTATGATTCACGGGTGGGTGGGGGGGCAAAACTCACAGAAAAAGATTGTAAAAGCCTCCTCAAAACTGTGATCAGGCGCTAGTCTGGAATCGAACTCCCGTGGCGCAGAGCAGCCTCTGTCTGAGGCGGCTGGCGGCACGCTTGAACTGCTGTTGCTGTGCAGGCGAAAGGCGGCTGATCTGCCTCAAGAGACGTCCCTCTTTGCCATACCTTGCCACGGAGCGGTCGCCGAGCCAGCCTCCGCGTTTCTTCAGCACAGGGAGGGTGGCAAGGCCGTTCAAGTAGTCGAGAGACGGGCCACCGTGTCGCAGCGTGTGCGGCGACACCTTCAGCGCTGCCAGCCCTAGTCGGTGGCTGGCCTCGCGGAACAGGCGCTCGTAGGAGGACAGCTGGAGTTCGTTGAACAGGCGCTGGGTACGCCGTGCACGGGCTCTGGCAACGAGCTGTCGAACAAGTTGCCGAAGCCAACCACGAGATGGGTCGATAGACCCAACCATCACGGTGTCGTCAAACTGCTGATTCTTGTTGGGCCGAGGCGTTGGGCCACTCGAAGGGGCAACTATCAGCGCCACCTTGTCATAGCGGTCGCCAGCCCTACCTGAGGGCAACACCACGTGCTCGAGGGACAGGCTGACCGCGGCCGCCGGGCGAAGGTAGGTGTCGAATTGCAAGGCGCCGCAGGCGGCGGCAAGGATGGACTCGGTCGCGCCCAGCTCCAGCCAGTGGTCGGCGATCGCGGCGAACACTTCCCAGGGGCACGGGTCACGGCTGAGCTCTGGGCAGGCTTTCACCCAGCCCGCCAGAGCTTTCACAGCGTGTGGCAAGTTGCGCGAGGGCGCGACGACGCCATGCAGGTGGGCGTAGCCGAACAAGGTGTGCCGACCAGCCCACGGCTCACAACCGTCGAAGAAGAGAAAGTCAAAGTACGCGGAGAGGCTGGCGTCCAGCTGCTCGAGCGGGGCCAGTGCCCGGGGCGGGGCCTGTTGGCTGGCCCAGCGGACGAAGTCCGACGAGCACGTCTCGTAGTTGACCAGAGTCCCCTTCCCGACGGTCTTGCGCTCCAGGAACCGGTCGCCGGGGTCGTGTCCCGCGGCGGCCCGGCGAGAGGCCGCCTTAGCAGCACGTCGCCGATCTCGATCTGGTAGCTCCACGTCGAGGACCGACCCAGACCACGCGCTGGCCCCAGTGCTTGATGGCGTCCTTCCACGGGCTGTGGTAGCACCTGGGGCAGTGAGGCCTGAAGATCTCGGTTGGGAGCGGGCAGCCTCCGGCTCGCGCCAAGTCAGCTTCCCAATGCTCCAGCGAAGTGGCATCGGCCCCGCGGGCCGTGTCTGGAGCCGCCCGTGCCAAGATGGCTGCCCAGGAACGGCAAAGACGAGGAGGGTAGCGCCCGGCCAGAGTCGTCTTCCAGGCCCACCGCCCTCGAGCCTCGCCGGGCCATGGAGGCAAAAGTACTTTTCCCTCAAGAATCTCATGATGATGGCTTCCTGGGCATAGACGATGTAACCCCTGTAGGGCATGCATGTTGGTGGCCAGGAGGGTCGGCTTGAGATACCCTGCACCGTACGCACAGTTATCGTATCGGACAAAGATTGCGTTCTGCCTCTGCAGCTCCTTCCTAAGGGGCCTCCAGGAGAAGAGCCTTGAGGAACGCGGGTTCTCGAGCGAGTAGTAGACGCCATACCGATTGCAGAGTTTGATGAGCCCCAACGAGAACTTGGCCAACTGTAGGCCCCCAAGAGTGGCCGAACTTGAGCCCGTCGTGCGGGCCCTTGACCAGGTAGTGCACGGAGTCCCCAAGTGGAGGTACCACACGAGCCCCTGCTTGACCAAGCCCTTGATGTGCCTCTGGGTCCTCTGCCTCGTGACGTCCATGTGGGGGCCCCTCGAGATCTCGATGGGGCACCCGATGTTGAGGTCGGCCTCCTGACAGGCGGCGGAGAAGGCGGCGCAGCCGGCGAAGATCTCCACGACGAACTGATGCTGAGCTGATGTCCTGACGACAGGGTAGTTGCTTTTTCTGTGCTGATGAGTCCGTGCACGCGGGCCCCGCTGGCGGATGCGTCGACGGGGCCGCGCTGCGCCTCGGCTGCGTGGGGCGGCAAAATGCTCGCGAGGCCCCATGCGCCCAAGTGGTGACCGCCGCTCGGGCGGAGTCCGAACCCTCGTAGGGGTCGGGAGGGCTGCGGACGTCTGCCGCGGCCCCATTCGCCCCAGCCCCGACCGCGAAGGCGGAGGTCGGCGGACCCGAGCGCTGGGTCGGGCTGGCGGCGAGTCGGGGGCCCGCGAGCATCGCTGCAGCACCGCTCGGCCGTGCCGGCCAGCGACGGAGCACCCGGTGGGAGGCGTGTGTATATACACCGACCTGTTCGGGCCGATTTTTGTTTTGAGTGTTGGGCCAAAGCGGTTTTGGCGCAGTGGCCGATAGAGGGAGCAAGCGCCATGCGCCCCGCCTGGGCGCGTTTGTCCAGGGGCGGGCAAGGCCGCAGCGGCCCCGGCACCCATGGCGGAAAACCGCCGCCCATGGTGGTGATGCCGTCTCTAGGCGAGGGGTGCCTCGTTTCGAGGCCATGAATGCGTGCCCGTAGCCGGGCACGCGAGAAAATTTAAACAGGGCCGCGCGCTGGCCGGGGAACGCGCGCGGGCCTGCTCGCCAGCACCCCAACCCATCCACCACATTGGGGAGGGGAGGAGTACAAACTCTGGCCCGATTGGAAATGATGCCGCCAAGGGGGTTTGAGCCAAATATGGGCGACGGGCCCGCGTCCCCACGATCACCCTCCCTCCCTTCCCAACTCACCATCGCCCCCCCATTGACCCCGCCACGACCTCGCCTCCAGCCTCCGTCTCCGTTCACAGACTCCTTCCCTCCCCCCCCCTGCGTTCCTCCACCCCCCACTGTCCGTTCACCCATCCCCCTCCCCGCTCCCATGCCTTTCGCTCGGAACTCCCCGCTCCCACTCCCGTTCCCTGCGCCCGCCAGCCCCTCCCTTTCCCTCTCACTCCCCACCCGTCTCTGCCCCGATCCCCCCCCCCAATCGCTCCATCCAGGCCCCGTATCCCTGCCGCCCTCTCCGTCCCCTCTAACCCCCTAAAAAACGAAAACGGAGCGTCAAGGTATTGTGATGTGGTTTCCAATCCTACACAAACGGGGCACCACCGCCTGCCACGGCCTGCCTGTGGCCGGTTCTATCGGTGGCTGGGAGCGAAGCCCCGGGTCACCGGGGCCACAGAAATTCTGGGAGGCTCATAGGGCGAATTCCTATGGCCTGATCGGTGTATAAAATTTCGGCGGGCCGTTCTGCCTGATACATTCCGAAATTTTCGTCGTCCCGAAATTTTATGCACCAATCGGGCCTTGGATTTTTCTCCTATAGTTTCCGGATTTTGCATGGTCCCCCGTGGCCATGGAAAGTGGGCGACCGCATGCGGACGCCCCCGCTGGGACTGCAGGTGAAGCTCCACAGGGAGCACAACCTGATTGAAAGGTGCGACGACATAGCCGGGGGGGGGGCCTCCGCGCCAGGGCCGTGCGCGGAGCCGCCATGCGGAGCACGATCTGTTCAAACGCAAGCAGACATTTGCACGATTACGCCATGCGCAAATATGACTGCCCTTACTGGGCTTG